GAGGAGAGGAGAGGAGAGAAGAGAGGTTCCGTCAATGGGATGTTCTCAGGAATTTATTCACAGAGGGAAAACAAACTCTTAAATGAAGATTTGCTTTGATAGAGCATTTGCTGGGGAATTCGGTGTTTGGAAGCTGGCAAAAATGTGGATGAGACAAGTGATCGATTCTAAGTCATTACTTATGAGCTCAGCTGCTGGGCCTGTCAGTACTTGTTATCCCTGAGAGGATGCACACGTCAGAAACCCTAATTACTTTCCAACCACGCCCCAGCCGCTCGAATCCTCCTGCCGTATTTCCTCAATAAGACCCAAAAGCTTGACTTTCATCAATTGTGACTTTCCTTCATTGAACGGTCACCATTGGAGCGGCTTGGGGAGGGGGCATGCATCTCAGCTGCCATTGTCTTCCCACACCCTCCAGTGTTCATACTGACCACCTCCAGGGAAGCTGGGGCCAAAAGCTTCAGCAAGCAGCCCTTGAGCTCTGCTGTGGAGCGGTCAGATCCGTGTGAGCCAACAGGCTCCCATCTGCCAGTCCACATTGTCCCCTCCGCCTGTCATGTCACCCTCCACTGTCCTCTTCACAATATCGGAGAGAGTTCTAAGTTAAGGCACAAACCTCACACAGAATGCAACTCCAAGGCCAGAATTACTCAGCTGTCTGGTCCTGAAATCAAAGCTCAGGTCATTTAGCAACCCAATGCCCAGTGCGTCTCCTGCTAAGTCTCTGTGGTTTTAATCTGCCCTTAGCCCTCCTGCTAACGGGAGTCTAGGAGCAGTTTGCAAAACCCATCTGACCATTGGGATCACAAAGTCAATCTGAGGCATTAATTTAAAAAAAAGGTTTATTTTACTTTAAATTATGTTCATGTGTGTGTGTTTGTGTGCACCTGCGTGCAGGTGTCCACAGAAGCCAGAAGAGGGCATCAGATCCATGGAGCTGGGGTCCTGGGTGACTGTGAGCTGCCCAGTGTGGGTCCTAGGAACCAAAAGGGTATTCTGCAAGAATAGCAAGTGCTTGTAACTGCTGAGCCATCTTTCTGGCCCCGTGTATTCCTTCTTATTGTCCCATCCCCAGCATCCAGAGGATTTATCTTCATGATGCTGAGTTGAAGCTAAGAGTGACTCGGTGAGCCAAAATTGTGTTAACATTTACGTTCCCATTTTGGATAAAAGAAATCCAGAGAACAAGTCATCTTAAAAAATAAGATGTGCCGGGCAGTGGTGGCGCACGCCTTTAATCCCAGCACTTGGGAGGCAGAGCCAGGTGGATCTCTGTGAGTTCGAGGCCAGCCTGGTCTCCAAAGCGAGTTCCAGGAAAGGCGCAAAGCTACACAGAGAAACCCTGTCTCAAAAAAAAAAAAAAAAAAAAAAAAAATAAGATGTGCTGGTGGCACACGCCTTTAATCCCAGCACTCTGGAGGCAGAGCCAGGCGAATCTCTGTGAGTTTGAGGCCAGCCTGGTCTACAGAGCGAGATCCAGGACAGGCACCAAAACTACACAGAGAAACCCTGTCTCGGAAAAAAAAAAAAAAAAAGAGAGAGAAATGGCTCAGGGGTTAACATCACTGGCTGTTCTTATAGAGGACCCAGGTTCGATTCCTGGGAGCCACATGGTTACAACCATTTGTAACTGCAGTCCCAGGGAATCCAGTGCCCTATTCTGGCTTCCACAGGCACGAGGCATACACATGGTACACAGACATACATGCAAGCAAAACACTCGTACATATAAAATAATATATTTTAAAATTTTAATTAAAATATAAATATAGGTGCTTTAACAGGTGAAACATAAATTTCCATATCATGAAACCTGACTGTTTATCTGTATGGAATTAAGTATCAATCTTGTATGTGTGCTTGTGTGTATGTATGTGTTGTATGTGTGTTCTATGTATGTGTGTGTGGTTTTTTTTTGTGTGTGGGTATGTGTGTTGGGTGTATGTGGTATGTGTTGTGTGTATATGTGTGTGTTGTGTGTATGTATGTGTGGTATGTGTGCTGTATATATGTGTGTGTATATGTGTGTGTATATGTGTGTGTTGTATGTGTGTGGTATGTGTTGTGTGTGTATGTGTATGTTGTGTATATGTGTATGTGTGTGGTATGTGGTGTGTGGGTATGTGTGTGTGGTATGTGTGTGTGGTATGTGGTGTGTGTGCGTATTGTGTGTGTGTATATATATTGTGTGTGTGTTCATGTGTATGAACGCACATGGGTTGGCAGGGTGTATGTGTGTGCGTCTGAGGACAGCCTTGGGTGTTGATCCCTAGGCACACTACTTTGTTTGAGACAGAGTCTCATTGGCCCAGACCTTCACAGTGTAGGCCAGGCTAGCTGTTAGAGAGGTCTATCTAGTCCAGAGGTCTATCTCTCTCCACCCACCTCCCGCCATTGCTGGGATTGCAAGCACACAGCACTGCTCTTGACTTTTCATGTGGGTTCTGGGGATTGAACTCAGGTCCTCAAACTTGTGAGGCAGGCATTTTCCTGACTGATCCACCTTCCACCCTGTACCATGTATGTTAAAGTCCCTTTCTTCCTGTGCAAATGACCATCCTGTTGCCGAGTACCCACAGACACTGCTTAGACACCCCATCTGGAGGTCATTGGTGGCTGCTTAGGATCAAAGCCTTGTTGGAGACAATTTCTCAAGTATGGGGACACGAACACTATAGAGTCACTCTGACCTATGTTCCTGAAATAATTGTCATCAGTTCTGGGTTTCTTAGAGAGATTCCCTAAGTGAAAAAAGGAAAAAAAAAAAAGGCATTTATTCAAGACACATATCTCCAACTGTAACGATAACATTGTATCTATAGTGTTTCTTTCCGATTTTTCACGGTTTGTATTAAAGAGAAAAAGAAGCAGGACTCACTGTTTGTTATGGTTGCCCAGAAACCAGCCCAAAGCTGAACTCCTGGCTGACTTTGCCTTTGCTAACAGTCTGGGATTTTTCTGCATATGTTTGTCTTTTTGCAGCAACTGTTCCCCCTGCGGTCTTGTTTTACGGTTGTACTTTTATGTTTGGGTGGATTTATTTGCCTATCACAAGGCCCACTGAATGTATCTTCCTAAGCCATACTAAGTAGTTGTGGGAGCCGTTTTGGGTATGAGTGACGTAGCCTGAGAAGGTAGGGTAGCCACGGGTAGGGCAGTCAGCCATTCTGACCACCCAAGAGTCCTTGTTGAGGGAGCCAGAAGAAGAAAGCACATTTTAAAAGACAGTTGAAGGCTAAAGTAATGCTTCTGGACCCCAGCTGAGCAGCGTCTCCCACACACCTGCATTTGTATTTTCTTCAGATCCCAGAGCCATGACCGCCAAGGGGATGCGGGCAGAGTCTTTCCTTGTCATTTGTACCCAAACCCATTTACACCTGGAAACAAACAAACACCACTGGTAGTGTGAGGAGCAGCTTGGAGAGGCCATATTATGACGTGTATGGCACTCCACGTATGCGCCACTGAGGAAGGAGGCCACACAGCCATCCCTGTGAAGGATGGGGCTCCCAGCCTTTGCCTGCACATACCTATATAATCCGTTGGCTGGTCTTGATTGAATGTTTCATCTAAGCCCTGTTCCTGAGTCTTCAGTATTGTGACTTTACAGCTTTATATAAAGTTCTCCAAAAAAAAAAACATCTTAGAGAGCTAGGGAGATGACTTCATGGGTGAAGGTGCTTGCTGGGCAAGCCTGGTGACCTGAGTTTGGTCCCCATAACCCACATAAAGGTGGAAGGCAAGAACGGGCTCCCCAAAGTTGTCCACTGATGTCCACACATGTGCCGTGACAAGCACACCTCCTCCCCACTAATAATAAATACATAAGAACTCCTTTGAGAGTTGGGGAGATGGCCCATTTGGGTAATACACATGTGAGGGCCTGAATCTGGATACCAGGGCTCACGTAAAGGTTGTCTGGGCATGGCAGCACATTTGTAACAACAGTACTCCAGGATGGAAGTGGAATCCTCTAGGCAAGCCAGCTCACTTGCTTGGAAAGCTTCATGTTCAACAAGAGACCCTGCCTAGTAAATAAAGTAGAACATGGTGGAAGGAGACAGCAAAGTCAGCTTCTAACCTACACACACACAGGCACATACATGCACACCCATGCACGTGCACACCACACATACACACGCACACACATATGTACATGTGCCCACACTGAGACACAGGCATAAATACACAACGTATACCACATATACATAGACAGGAAGAAAGAACATCCTCCCCCAAAACCAAGAACAACAAGACCCCAAAACACCCTTGAGGAGCTGTCAAATTACATTTCTGTTTTCTTTCATTAAGAAGTCTTATCTGGCATCAAAAACAAAACACTTTCATGGTTTCTCTTAAAGGTAGAATTCTACTTCATTTTTCTTCTTCTCATTAATATTTATTTGTGTGCGTGTGTGCATGTGTGCGTGTTGGGGAGCAAATTGTTTACCCACAAGCATCATAGTCTGTTTTTTTGCCTTTCAGGTCACTGATCCCAGCCCTTCCCCAATGTCTACTTAAGTAAAACTAAAGCAATTTGAGGAGAGAAACATCCAGTCTGATAACAAAGCATGCTTTGTCTTGACACACACAGTGCTCGATGACCACAACCCTTGCCGTCCTTTGGGGTAAATGAGTAACTGATTGCATCTGAGAGGCAAACTCGTGTTTATATTCTGACTCTCACAGTATGTTTCTCTCTCTTTTTACTCTGACTAACATGTGTGAAATGGACGAAACAACTGTCTCGGCTCAGAGGCAGCGCCCGTGAGCCGAGAAGCTTATATAGCTTAGGAACACTCCAGGAAGAAGAATACAAAAATACCTTACTTTCACCATTTTTTCCTTTTTTTTTTTTTTTTACAAAAACATATTATCATATAACATACCGCTCATGCTCCTTCTGGGTCTGGAAAAGGCCCATGTGAGAGAGATGCCGGAAGTTTAGACTTGGTTGGCTTGTCATGGCAGGTTCATTTCTTCAGGTTCAGTGTTTTGGTAAATGTTCACCTACACTAGCACACACGAACTAGCTACTTCAGTTTGCAAACACAAGACATGTATGTACTGGCTCCGAAGAGACTAGGTAGGAATACACAAATGTAAATATCAGATCACAAGATTACGTAGTGTATAAGCACACATACACAGGGTTTTGGTTTAGTTTAGGTTTTTTTTTTTCCTTTTTTTTTCAATTTCTTCTGGGCGGCTGCTTTCCTCAACATCACACCCAGGCAAGGATGTCCTCTTCTCCAGACTTTGAATTGTCTGCCTGCATGAAAATGTTCACTTTAAGGGAGACGTAATCAGTGGGATATACTCTCAGACAAGCAGCCTCAAATCCTGTCCTCTGAACTGGGCTCCTGTAGAACAGTCTGTTCTAGAAGCCAACTCTGATGGGTGGGGAGGCCTGAAGCAGGTGAGGGGAAGCGCACTGCCAGGAGGCAGGCTTGGCTTGTGTGTGTGTGTGCGCACATGTGCGCGCGCTGTGTTTCCAGGTATCTCAGATACTGGTTTGGAGGTCTCCGTTGAGGAGGGTCCTCTGGGTCTCTGTGGTCTCGTTCAGCCGGGATTTGTCCTGCTTACTGTCGCTCCGCTCCCCGTCATCCGTACCACTCACCTTGACCAAGCAGAGAACGTTCTGGAAGCTCTTCTTGAAGTTGTCAGATAAGAAGGCGTAGAGGATGGGGTTGGCGCAGCTGTTGGCGTAGGTGAGGATCACCACAAAGTCAAACATGCCTTTCAAGGCCGGGGTGGGACTGATGGCCACGGACACAGACGAGACATTGAAGATGTAGAAAGGGAGCCAGCAGAAGATGAAGACAGCCACCACGATGGACACCATTCGGGTGACCTTTTTCTCTGACTTTTTCCTCTTGGACGATCCCACTCGGATTCCAGAGGATTTCACCTTGATGATGATAAACAGGTAGCAAAGACAAATGATGGTGAGGGGTACCAGGAACCCCAGGATGAAGGCATAGATAATGAACCCTGTGTACCATGCCCCAGATTCACCTGGCCAGTTGATGGTACAGCTGCTCTTCCCCCACTGGTTGCTCCGGAGGCCAGCATATATCATGATGGGCAAAATGACCAGCAGAGAGATGCCCCACACGGCCACATTGATCATCTTGGCTGTCCGGGGTCGCCTCCACTTGGCTGACTTGATAGGGTGGACCACAGCTAGGTAACGGTCGATACTCATGACTGTCAAGCAGAAGATACTGGTGAACTGATTGATGCCATCTACAGTCATGACCACCCGGCAGATGGCCTTGCCGAAAGGCCAGTGGACCAGTGCCACCTGCATGGCCAAGAAGGGCAGCCCCAGCATGAAGAGTTCATCTGCAATGGCCAAGTTGAGGATGTAGATATTGGTGATGGTTTTCATCTTGGCATAGCGGAGGATGACGTAAATGACGAGCGTGTTGCCACACAGTCCGACAACGCATACCACGAAGTAGATGAACGTGAGGACCGCGTTGCTTGTCATGTCGTAATATGGCTCTGTCTGGTTGGAGTCATTGCTTGGCTGCAGTGACCCATTGATGTCAAATGGGGAAGGCATCCATATCTGGCTCCCATTCAGTTGCTCAGATGCCATCTCCATGGCTGCTTTTCAGTCAGTTTAGAACCAAGTAGCCCAGAGATTTTCCTCTCACCTCAGTGGGCTCTGGGGAACCAAGACTCTACGGGGACATCTGGGAAAAGAAAAAGCAAAGTAAACTATCAGTCCCAAGCTATTTAGACTCCTGTATTCCCCATGCCTGGTTCTTCTTGTTGAGACATTTTCCTACCACTCGCTCTTTCTCTTTCTTTTGTATATTTACATGCGTGCAGCTACGTGTGTGTGTGTGTGTGTGTGTGTGTGTGTGTGTGTGTGTGTGTGTGTGTAGGCCAGAAATTAGTCCTAGCTTTTGTCACGGAGGCAAAGCACCCCACGCCCCTTTGTAGTCAGGGTTTCTCACCCTGTAGCCTCGGCTGCAGGGACCCACCTATGTCTGCCCCGACACTGCTGTGATTACAGATGAGTCACCACATTGAGCAGTTCTCACAGGGGTTCAGGGGTTGACTCTGGTCTTCCTGCTTGCAAGTTAAGTGTTTTATCTATTTATTATTTTGGTTTTTTGAGACAGGGTTTCTCTGTGTAGCTTTGTGTTTTTCCTGGAACTCATTTGGCAGCCCAGGCTGGCCTCGAACTCACAGAGATCGGCCTGGCTCTGCCTCCGAGTGCTGGGATTAAAGGCGCGTGTCATCACTGCCCCGCATAAGTTAAGTGTTTTAATGATTGAGTCATCTTCCCAGTCTCCCTCCGTCCTTCCTTCCCTCCTCCCCCATCCCCCGTCCGCCCCTCCCTCCCTCCCTCCCTTCCTCCCTCCCTCCCTCCCTCCCTCCTTCCCTCCCTTTTGTTTGAGAAAGGCTAGCCTGGAACTCTGGAACTCACTATGTAGCTGAGGCTGGCTTCACATTCACAGCACTTTCCCTGTCTTTGCCTCCTGGGTTTGGGATTACAGGGATGGGCTACCATGCCTTGCTCTCCTAGATGTATTTTCAACTGAAAAGCAAGTTTTCTTTTTCTTTTTTTCCATCTAGCTGCGAGCCTGCCTGTCAGCCCGCAGACTTTTTTAGGTCTTTTTTGAAATGGTGGGGGAAAGGTTTGGGTTAAACCATCATCTTTGATGACGCACATGTGGCGGATGGCTATGACTTGAAACACATAGACTTTGACCCCTAAGGAATTGACTGGTTCAGACTATAAAAAAAAAAAAAAAAAAAAAGCAGATCTTGGAGGGTTTCAGCCCCTGACTTTGGAGGGGGCTGACACCAGCACTCTGAGCCCCATGAAGAATTCCATGCAGGCTTGATGTCTGCTTGGGAGAATTTCCACTCAGAGACCACCATGGTGGGAAAACCCAAGAATTTAAAGGAAGGACAAATCCGGGCTCCATGGTTGAGGCCCACGTGATCTCATGCCCAGCCCTTAACTGCTGTGACTCTCCCTTGTCAACATGGGGGGGGGGTGTCAAGAAGGATAAACAAGAGAAGGTATGTGCAAATGCCTAACATTGTGCAGGAAAATGTTACCCCCACCCAGCTGTCTCATTAGCTTTAATTTATTGAAATTGCCTACACAGTGAATCAAGTTATAGCCTTCAATATTTAAAGAAGGAGTCTGGCTTTCTTTTGCTTTTTAAATGTGTGCTTTAGGCAGTTTTTCTTCTTGCTTTTGTTTTTCCAATACTCAGTGCCTTCCATCCCCCCCCCCCTGCTTAGGAAAGCCCTTTCCTAAAGCCAATCCCCTCCCTCTCCTTCCCCACAATGCGTGGCCTTTTGCTGCAGTTCACAGATTAGGGGCAAAAACAGAAGCTAGGTGATGGATGCAGGCTGTTCGTGAATGTCAAAAGAGGCTATTAAAAACTGGTGGCGTTCATCCATACCTGTTGTCCCCTTGGTCTCCCTAACCATTGTGGGAGTTGAGGATACTTTCCTCCCTCACTTAAAGAAGTGCAAACTGAGGCTGAGAGAGTTAGAATCCTTGGAGTGGATACTTGAACATGAGCCACCTGGCCCTAAGTCTTCTGTCATTTTCAACGTGTCCTGCCTGATGCTCACTGGATGGAAGTTGGTGACTGGTACTTGGGCTTAGTTTAAAGCAACTGACTCTTGAGTGACCTCCATGCTGAGAAAATAATGAGAATGCTGTTTGCTTGGCCTAAGATACAAAGGATGAGATCAATCCATAATTAAGTGATTTACCACAGTTATAAAACATCGATGTGTGTGTGTGTGTGTGTGTGTGTGTGTGTGTGTGTGTGTGTGTGTGTGTGACTCTGATGGAGCTCTCTAGCTGCTAATACTTCCATAGAGGAGTCAAGGGAGTCAAGTCAGGTAGTGTGTGAATTGCATGGAGATAAGGCTATGAACAAAGTATGTTAGAACACCACTCTTCCCTGGCTGTGGGGGGTGTTCTCGGGATTTGGGGGGCTGGGTCTTGTGTGAGCTCAGGGTAGGAGGTCCATCCAGGAAGAGGGGAGCTGGTGAAGGGCTGGAATGTACAGCACCACTACTTCACTTGCCTGATGCATTTCCCCTAAGTGGAGTACTTTTCCAAGTGAATGCCCGATGCTGGTAGAGACTGCAGAGAAATCCAAGACGTAGCCAGCAATAGGCAGCTGCTCCTTGCTTACCTCTGCCTCTGATTCATTCTGTACTGCCAGTGCCCGGCTTTTCTTTCTGTGCTAATTTCCCCAGCACATGTTTGGTACAGTGAGGTCTGGGGTTTTGCATTTGTATTTTGGGGACCCACTGCATTGTGTCTGCATTGGGTAAGCAAGCAGAAGCAGGCAGCTATTAGAACCGGAAGCTTTAAAGAAACTGTTTCTGTATCCCCAGATTAATTTGGGTTATTTCCACTGGTTTATTTCCCTTCCCCATCTTGTCAGTTACTTAATTCTACAGACCCAGAATCCTATTCAAGCTGCTTGCAGTGGGACCTTACAGTAACCCTTAGCTTGTGGCGTTTACGTACCATGAGAGGGTAAATTTCAATGTCTGATTGAGACTGAAAACCCCCGGGGATGTAGGATCCCTGTCTAGAGCCAAGAAAGGAGGAGGAGGAGGAGGAGGAGGAGGAGGAGGAGGAGAGGAGTGGTGGTACAGGGCCCAATGTGCTTCTTCCGCTCGAACTGTGCCCTTTGTGCAGAATGAATGGTGGGAGGGTGTCACTTTTCTCTCTAATTGGCTGAGACACACCTCCACTTTGGGGAGGTCAGCCATACAGAGATTCAGAGCCTGGGAAGGTGGGTGTAGGTCATATGCTGGGGAACTCCATGGAAAAGGAGAGACTCCTCCAAGGAAGGCAGGAGCTTAAAACCTAGGGAGTCAGTCCTATATAACTAGTCAGGTGCCTAACATCTCCAAATGACCGCTTCTCATTTTACGTTTGTCTCACTGAAAGAATTCCAAATGCCACTAGTCGATACTTGTTGAATTGTGGTTAAATTGAATGCACCAGGAAGTCTGATTTTCTGCCTTTTTTTTTTTTTTTTTGTTCAGTGTCAGGGCTGTTAAATATCAGCCTGTGGCTTGGTGGGTGGTTTCCCCTGAGAGAGTCCTGGCTCTGTTGGAGAGAAGGATTTCCACTGTCTCAGGAATCCTCTCTTGTCCCCATATGCTCGATAGAGCCCATTCAGATTTAGTGTCGCTGACTTCTTGACATCTTTCCGTTGTGAGCCCTCAAGACCCTCTCCCCTAAGCCTGCTAGAAACCTCCACCCCACCCCCACCCCACTCCAAGAATCTGGGGCTGGAGACTGAACCGGTACCAGCATAGACTGCACCCCTGTGTGGTTCACTAAGGCGCTAGAGTGCCCCTCAGCACTGGCTGAGTGAGTGGGAGGGGGATAAATAAGCGAGACTCAGGATCGCAGAGTTAGTGTGGCGGCGGCAGCGGGGTGGGGGGATATTTGGGGCCATCAACTCGCTGACCCTGGGAACAACGTGTTCCCTAAAGGATTCCCACCATTTCCAGCAAGAGTGGACCGTGGTGCCTGCACATCCAGCTTCGATACACAGAGGGGACTGAGGTGTCGGGGATAGGTGCCAGGGACAGACAGTCGCTTGGGGACTTGACCGTTCAGTGGTTGGTTCTCTCCAATCTAGACAGATGTCTCTGCCCGAGGGCGGCGGGGTGTAGGAGGGACCTGACCGCATACGAATCTGTCCGCCTCCCCATCGGGCGATTGAAAAAAAAAAAAAAAAAAAAAAAACTCAACTAAATGCACAATACGATGCTCCCCATCAACTGTCCCTCCCTAATTTG